CGCTTCCTTCTCTAAATTTTACCCTGCCCACAAAAGGGTGAGTCAAGCTGAAATGGCAACATCCTTCTCTAAATTTTACCCTGGGGTGGCTCACCAAAGCGTGAGTCAACTTGGAAGACCCTCTCACGATGCAAGTGTGCGAGCAACGACGAGCACACTTTTCTCTATGGCACGGAGTGCAATATTGGGCAGAAAAATTCTGGAGCCAAATGAATTATGCGGAGGCTGACTGAAGGTTTCTAACTACCAACTAACTACGGACAACAGGTGCTACACGTGTATAGCGTAGACACGCCTAGGAGAACCTAGGACCCTACAAAACACAGAGGGAGGGGGGAGGAGGGATTGGGTGACGACTGTGTGACAACCTCAGTGAAGGCATGAGTGACTAAGTCAGCAAAGAAAGAAGTAAGTAAGTGGCCAGGTTAATGAATGAATGGATAAATGAATGAATGAATGAATGAATGAAAGAAATGAATGAATGAATGAACGAATGACTGACTGAGTGAGTGACTGACTGAGTGACTGACTGAGTGAGTGAGTGAGAGAGAGAGAGAGAGTGAGTGAGAGAGAGAGAGTGAGTGAGAGAGAGTGAGAGTGAGAGAGATTGAGAGTGAGTGAGAGTGAGAGTGAGTTTGAGGCAGCACATCCGCGTGTACAAACGAGGCATCTCACTCGCGTGTACAGACGAGGCGCTGCCCCTTGACCTGGGAACCCTAAAACAAACTATTGTTTTATAGCAGGGCAGCCTTGGGCTCTCCCATTCCGCAGTGGATAATGTTTTAAACTTTATAGGCATAAAATTATAATGATATATATATATATATGTATATGTTGGGTCTATCCTAATACCTGTAACAGTGGATGATGACGGTTAGTAAAGGCCTTGTTCAAAAATAGTAATACTGTATATAATTGTTTACTGACTGTTACAGGTAATAGGATAGACCTAATGTATATGTGTGTTTCCAGGCCAAAAGGGCCGAGCACGTCAGCTGCCCTTGTTTGCCCTTGGTCTCTCCGACCCTAACGTCCTAGCGGCTCGGTCTCCCACGTGGCTTGGAGCCTGGCGATGAAACGTCCAGCGATGGACATCGCCGAGTCATCCCAAAGGCATGTTTTCACTGGTCTTCGAAAGACATTCATGGCTGGCAAACGGAAAGTCCTTGGATTTTCTCGATGTTTGTTGGGAGGAATCCGGTTTCTTTATGTTTTTGAGATCGCCGATGGTCGTCATCAGTCGGCCTTGAAGTGCACCGTGTCCACGCTCTCGGGCTTCAGCCAGGCATGCTGCAGCTGTTCCGTCCGCAGCCTCGGCCGACCTGGAAGGAACAGCGGCGGTTCGGACCTTCTCCGGGAAGACGGTCTCCGGGTGACGGATGTGCCGATTCGTGGAGGGGACGACGTGGAGGAGTCGTCCACTCTTCAGCTCGATGTGTCGAAAGAATTCAGATGCAAACGTTCAAAGAATTGACGGAACATACACAAGCCATATATCATATATCTAGAACCTCCACAAGCCCTGCATCACTCTACAACTTGTGAGGCCTACCGGCTGCCCTCTTCCTTCAGCAGCAAATGTTTATCAAAACATGTTAAACACATCGAAAAGCATCGACCAAGTCGACGATTTGAACAACCCGCCTGCGTTGGTTCCCTGTTTGTGCATCTGCTCAGTGCCACTTCGACAACGCGCACAGCCCGCGCCTCCCACGCCCAGCTGATCATCGGGTAATTCCCGAGGAGCGCAGCTCAAACGCAAATGGAGCCACACTGCTGTCTTGGCGCCCTTCACCTAATTGTTCGGCCGAACGCCAGCTAAGCTAGAGGAAACAAGAGGTGTTTGACAATAAGAGCCGATGGATGTGCTGTTGTTCGGATGACAGTCAGCCAGGACCACGTCTCAAGGCGATGGTGTGGAAGCATCGCTCTCGCGTCCAAAGACTTGGTAACTAAAGGTGCATGAGCTCGTGTTCAATAGGCGTCAATCCGTTTAAAGGGGCCCAAAATGGCCCAAAGAAGAAAGATCAGTGCTAAAACAACAAGTGCTCGCCCACCGTCTATAATTAGCGCTAACACCCCGTGACCTCCGGCGGTCGTTTGCCCAACATTGGATAACCGTTGGGCGATCAAGTATAAGATCATACGCACCTAGGCCGCGGCCCAAAAACACGGACCCATGGTGTGATCAGCACCTCTAGGACTCTAGAATTGCCCATGTCCACTGAATGTCTGCCAAATGGCCATCCAGTGCATGATTTGCCCGCCGAAGGTGTTTCCTGAGACGCGGAGGGTGTCACGAGACGTGAAACATGCATGACAAAGGCAGCCAGGCCCATGTTACAACAAAAACCAGCATGAATAAACATGTTATAACTTGTTATATTATGGTAACCATGACAGTTGGCAAATCCACTTTTGCCCGAAGGAGTTCAGCCATGTTCAGCTCAGCCCATTTTTCAAGCACGGGATCCGATACCGCGAGCGGCACGAGGGTCCGAGACCTAGCCGCTGATGCTGCCGTGGTGCCCATGTGGTTCGCGTGAAAGGGCAACACGAGCTCGGTGAAGGTCAAGGCGCCGCCTGTGAAGTCAGCCAGGTGGGGCATGAACAAAGAGCCGTGTAGCTGCATCATCCACTGGGGGTGGTGAAGCATCCGGAGGATGAATGTTTCAATCTGAACAGGCTTCATTTTTCTGCACAAAGGTGAAGAAATGGTCTGACGGTCATGGAAATGCTTCCTCTCTTTCTGGCTCGATGAAATCGCCCATTCTCCACAGCTGAGAAGAATGGCCCATGTCCTTTGAATCTAGGCGAAGCAAAGCAGTTCAGCCATGTTCAGCCTTCTCTGTGCGCTCTTGCAAATCGCTGCGGGCCTTTCATGACGTTCACCCAACTCAAGGAAGGAATCCGGGACCCTTTCATCTTCCAAATTCTCTCAAATCTCAGGACTACGCAGCTACCCCAGTGGAGCACGTGGAGCATCCACTGGGCAGGATCTTTCCTCCCTCTCCGTCCGTCCGACCGTCGCCTTGCCGCGCGGTGGGCGACAAGGTCTCGGAGGGCGGTACTTCCTCGACCAGCTCGGCCACTTGGGCTTCCTCGAGGGAAGCGCAGGCGAAGCGCAGGCGAAGCGCAGGCGAAGCCGTGGCACAGGTCATTTTCAGCGTTGGTTGACCAAGCCGTGACCAAGCCACGTTGATCGGAAATTCCTCACATGTGTAAAAGGGTGTTTCATGCAGACACACCTGCGGGTATGACCTATCGATCATCTTTGGAATGCGGTGCAGCATCAGGCACGACACTTCTTGGTTTCTGTAAGTCGTCTCAGTGAAAGTTTGACTCATTGGCAGGACACATGTTCCATATTTCCTGCATTCCGGAAGACTGTCAGCCGGAGCGGCGCAACTATACAGTCATTACCGACAGTACTGTTGTAGCCGCGTAGCCCTGTTCTTTGAGGGGCCCACCGCCACAATTGATGAAGCCTTCGGCTTGGGATTCTGTTTACCGATATCGGAACACAAAGCTACGCTGGGTACCCTTCCCGGAATCATCATGGAAGTTGATGGCACGGCAGACCATTTTCCTCGACAAACGGGTGGTTTGGTTTCTTCTGAAATCTGCTGGCCGGCTGCACATGTTTATGGAGGCCCAGCGTCTCGCTTCTTCCGAAAGTTCCTGCCGGCAGTGAAGGAGTGGAGGTTCATGTCGAACACAATTGAACACAACTCAAACCCATTTTATAGTCATTATCGTAATTAAAGTCTATATACTGTAAGATTATATAAGAACTCAAGCTGCCCAAGCGGTGCCACGCACGCACACAAAACATCTTTATTCAGTCCGCATACCATGGAAAAAAGGAACAATGAAACGCAACCTTAGCCTCGACAAATGGTGAAAAGCAACACAACCAAGGGCGCTGAATTCTTCACCCGCTTTTCATATGCTGCGGCAGCTGCGCACTAAAACCACTGCCGTAGCCCAACTCCAGCCGCAGTTGCCCACTGCATTGTTGTTGCTCATGAGCCGCCCTCAAAAGTCTCAGCATTCTAGGTGTAGTCACTTGTATGCATAATTATATGAACATCATGCAACTGCAAACCAGCAGTTATAGATCATTCCAATTCACTCCACGCGCTTCGTACAGAAACTCTTCCACTTAACCCTCAGGGCCTGCGCCGCTCGGCCAGACCGAACTCCAGCACCTGCGAGTAGCCAGCGGATGTGGGTCGCTGCACTGCGCGGGGTGTAGCTTGGAATGGGAAGGGGAAATATCGCCCCACCTGTTTGGTCTTCGGAATGGGGCCCATGGTCATCTCCAAACCTGGGGCCATGCGTAACCATTACGTAAGCATACTTTCAGGGAGTATGTGTGTCTGGCAAGTCGTGGGGGTGACTTGCGTCGGGGGAGAAGATCTGCTTTTAGCCAAAGACAAACATGAAGGTGCACTAGGACGTTGGAGAACATTGCTCAGGGATCGGCCGTAGAAGAACGAATGCCTCCGAAAAAAAAAAAAAAAAAAAAACAATAGAAAACAAAAAACAACTCCACATACTCCCGTAGCCAATCCCAAGATTTGAACAACCAAGCATCAACTTCTTACAAGGGGATCTCACGACAAGAAATCTCAGGGACGAGAACAAGTTCTTTCTCTACCCGCAAGGTCGGGAATCATTGAATAGCACGATTTGCAACAACCCTGTTAAAGCCGTCAACCAAGGAGTAAAAGGACGAGTGCGGTATACTACATCTTGTCCACCTGCTAGGGGAAGAACACATATCTCGAATATCTACTGACCCAAACAATATAGCTTTTACAGCTCTCAGTGGCGTCGCTGAGCTCCCCGTTTCGCTGCCTCCTCGGCAGTGCTGGGCACAAGCTCAGGCACTTCCACCTTCACACGCCCTGCCTGGCGGCGACGAAGGTTGCGGGAGTCTGGAATACAGGCCTTTGAGGTGAAGATCTTGTTGGTAAAGGATGTAAACATATGTAAAAATAGGTCAACTCTGGGTCTACGATATGGTTCTGCACTCTCTGAGGTTCATAGCAGTGGCAGTGATAAAATGCAGGATTTGGGAGGGTGGGCCCATCCGGTGTTGGATGAAACACATGGATGCTCAATAACGTCAAATGGGTGAGGATCAGGTAGATCAGCAGGCCTTCTCGGCTTCTGTCTTCAAAATGACGTACATGAAATAGGCATTGCCCACCTTAGGCTGGGCTAGATGGGCTGCGACAAATGTGGCCTGGTGGAGCATGGGACCCAAGAGTCACGACAAATGAAGTCCTCTTGTCATGATGAAACGAATCAGCAGACTCCAAACAGAATCAGCATCCCATCCACCGAAGAACTCGTGGTTGCAGTGCGTAAAGAGGCTTAGTGTATTTGCACCTGCCTATGCGGTCATGTCTGTGGGTCATGGCACCAGGATATCTTGGTTGACCTAAAATTACCAACGTTTGCCAAGCTATATGGTGGACCAGGGCTCCAGGTTTTGACCCGCCATCCACATATTATGTATCTGAGCTCATCATGGATCTCTTCCACATAAGTTCATGAGCGGAACAAAAAAAGACACCAGCCGACGACTCTGGGTCAGGCCAGGTCATCCGACAGCCCTCCGACAGCCATTCCACGCCGCCGTGTAAGGTCCCACCCATGCCACCCATTCCTCTTCATCGCTGCAGGCGCCATTCGCAGGGTGCCGCTGTGGACCTCCGCCACGGAGATCTTCACGACGACCTCCATGGAGCTTCCGAAGGCACGGGTCACCTGTGTCAAGTGCATGAGATGGATTCAAGGAACAAACCCATCAAAGGCCCCCCTACCCAGGTGCCAACATGTACAAGCCGCCTCATCTTCAACTGCCACAACTTTCATCAAGCAAAGCCGTGCATTGGCATTGCGAAAGCGCACCAATCCGGCTAACATATTATAGTAGCTTGAAGTTTAGGGGTTTGGCATGGTTTCCATATCAATTGCAGTAGTCCAAAAGAGGCTTGTTCTAACTCCCTACTTGTCTACAGGATGACATAACTCCAGATTCACTGACGTCTCTCAGGGCTTGGGCTTGGGTGACAGCCCCCAGCTCTGCTCGCTTTGCTCCAACGCAGGGCACTCAACACGCGGCGACTCAGCCTTGCCCTCAAGAATGCATCTTTCACCTGGCGCAGGGGCAAAAGAACATCAAAGCTGCATCAGTTCGGCTGGATTTGCTGCCCTGTGATGCCATGAGGACGCCGTAGCCGATGCATGATCAAATCAAGTCGACTACCTCAGTCCTTAGACCAAACCACAGTTCTCCTGTACTCTCATGTACCTTCCCACTGGATGATGCTGGGTGCTTTTGGGCATGGCACATGCCCCCATGCAAATGAGAAACAAGCTTTATGATTTACGAGTATCCTACTTGCTGCCCTCGATGCTGCGCTGCTCTACACGCGCCACACCGGACCGCGCTCGCTGCCTCGTTTCAGCAGGCAGTAGTTCTCCGTGAAGTCCAAATCATCCATCACCTCAGAGTGGTCACAAGCCATGTGCCGATGAGACGGGAAGCACCGGTTGACGGTTGAAATCTTGCTGGGGACCATCAACTTGTGGAGCTGCACTGGTTGCGGGTTGCACGCAGGTTGCACTATAATTATGGCTGTTCACCAACCTGTGGGTCAGAAAGAAACCACCCCGAAGACTCCAAGCAAACTCCTTTGCCAAGGATGAACGCCCGATTGAACAAACATGCTCTTTCCCAAAGGCTGTCATGACCCATGATGCGGCTACGGCATGTCATGGCTCTCAAATTGCTCATCCAAACACACCAGCGGTTTTTCAGTCCTCCATGGCACCTGCGTCCTTGCTTTGTTCATCTTTTTGTCTCCCATGATCTTGCTGAAGCCTTGCAAGCGAGCCATCGCCCCCACATGACACGTGGAACCAACACCGAAACCAATGCCAACCGATGCCTTCCCAGTGGCCAAGGTCACCGCTGAGCGCCCGCAGTGCCGCTCGGCCGCCAAGCAGCTCGTGGCATCCATCCACCTGAGGTACCGAACGGCCCGAACGAGAGCGTGAGCGCTGTGACCGTGGCAGCCACGGTGGGTTTTGGTATGCAGCTGGTGGATGCTTTTTGGGTGGATGCTCCATCTGCTCAGGCTGGATGAAGCTGCAGGCTGTCGGTGTTCATCCCGGGATGACATTTTTAGAATCCAAATAGCTATGGAACTGCCAATCGTTGCATCTAAATATCGCTGACAGGGATGAGAACCTCACACTCACACTCTTCTTCACTATTCCTGAAATATGCATATATTTAGGAATCCATCAAAATAACTACATACAATCAACAGGTGCCTAGTCTCTAACTAACGCACTCCATGTTTGATGGGTGGCTGTCTGTCTGTCTGTCTGTCTATCCCTCCCTCCCTCGCTCCCTCCCCCTCCCTCCCCCCTTCTTCTTTCTCTCTCTCTCTCTCTGATTTTGCGTGTATCTGGCACAGTGCGTCACAGTGCTGGACTTTGGAACAGGTCATCTGGCCATCTCTCACATCCGATCAACAAGCACATCATCCGGTGAAGCCACTCCAAAAGGTAGGACATGTTCAGAGTCTCCCTGGAATCGCACACACTCGCATCGATTTCCTGCACCGGACTTTTCGCTTTTCGCGCAACAAAAGTCGCGCACAAAACACCACAGTGAGGTCACATGATGTCACAACACCCAAGGTTTGATGTTGGATGTCCTTGATGTTATAAGTATTTCATTTTAAATCTACGAGGGATGTGATGCGTGTCCTTCATCTCACAGTTCCCTCCAAAACACAGTGGTCGCAAACAGTCACATGTTTGGGATTCGGTGAATACCGTTAGATGTTTAAAATGCCATCCATGTCTGGCTCCGTCTCAGGCCTCATTGACATCTCATTTACCCCCAACTCTCAAAGGCAGTTTGCACTCTTTCCGTCGCGCTCCTCCATTTTGCATGGACATCAATGGCCGAAACATGGTGCTTCGATGTGCTTCAGCCTATATGGTGATCTCGAAGAAATGTTCCAGGCAATGACTATACTCACTATATATGCGCTTGTCTGTCACTAGCACTCAACAAGTTGCTAAGGCCCACCGCAAAATCCCTATTCAATATACCTCCTTCAACATCCTAGTAAGTGAAGCAGCTAAGCATTCGACCCTTGCTATCAAGAACGTCCAATATCCAGTCAACACTAAGAATGAACTGCCCTTCCATCCCAAAAACGCACCATCGTTACCAGGAAGTTCGGGCTCGCCACTGGTGCCGACCGCTCCGTTGAGCTGCTCCGTTCCTTCGTTCCTCCCGCGACGCGCAAGTCGACCGCCGTCCTTCAGCAGCGTGACGACGCTGGCCGCCGCCGAGCGCGCACGGGTGCCTGCGGTGTTCGATCGGTCTGACCGAAGGTCGCCTTCCGAAGGCTACCATGAAGCCGACAGCTTCCTTTTTGGTCAGCTTACAGTATTGAGATCGATGCCACGATCGATGCCGATCTAGATTCTAGATCATCTTACGCACTCTGTGATGATCGTTCCTCTTTACAGTTTCTGGTGTTTCCTATCGTCTCCTCCTTTGCCTTCTTCTCCGGAAATATGTTTCCTGGTTTAACTTACGTAAATTCCTGGATTCATTCCTCTTGCTCCTGGTCCAAGTTTGTAAGGATTTGCAAGGATTTTTTGGATAGTTCTGAAATGTTCTGAAGATAAGAACCATCTGCCGTTTGTTTGCCAAAATTGTGTTGTAAAGATATTAATATGATATTGATAATGATTAGCATGGACCTTGAATATCGATATTGCTCAGACTGTATATCGTCACCTTGCAAAAGAAAAACACCGTGTACACCACAATGGAGCCGCCACAACTCCACAAAGCAACCCAAACACAGACTCTAGAATACATTGAATACATCCAGTGGTTCGACCAATCGCTAGCCATCCCTGGGCCCCGGAAGTGCCGTCCGGCCATCAGTCTCGAGCAACGTCCGCTTGGGCGGAACCGGCGGAACGGCCGCGTTGCCCATGGCGTCACAACGGGGCCGTTTGCTCATGCACCGGAGGGACGAGTGGATGTGGAAACTGGTGGGTCCAACGAAAGGAACATGGATGGTTTAAGCCTTTACGAAGCATTCTACTTGTCTCATGGTAGAATGATGTAGAATGTTCATCGGTCAGTCAATCAAAAGCTGAACGTGGCAAACACCCCATCGATCCCCATTGTGCAAGACGAGAAGGGACTGCGAAAAGCGAGTCTGTCATACAAAAACCATCAAAAACCATCCCTGACATCTCCATGTACTGAAACGGCTGCCATTCTGATGTCTTCAAGAGCTGGCGATCTGGAATGTTGTGCAACCAATGGTGCTGGTTGAACATGTGGGTATTGTCAAAAAACCGCTCACTGAATAAAAAATAACATGAACCACAAATCTTCTGTCCATCTTTCATGGTTTCTTTTTTCTCAGAATTATGGCAATAGTGCCATAGTAGGACACAGGCGTCTGCCTGATGGAATGTGTGAGTGTGATCGAACTTGATTCAATTATCCCTTTAAAGAACGCCAGCGTTCTGGAGCCGTCTTGAGATTTACAGTCGCTCTGAAGATAGCTGCCCTTTCACAACCGTCAACGTCAACCTCTCTTAGGGTCTCAACTGTCTCAACCCAAACTTCAGCCCCATTGGACCCCCAACCAAGGTCAAATGTTCCGTGGGTTGGAACCACAAACGTTGCTGGGTCTGGGGGCGGCATATCTGTCAACGGTCATAGAGGTCGCCCCTGGTATCTCCTACGGGCTTGTTCACGCCAATTCCATTGATCTACATTGTGAGCAACACTCATGATGGCCTACAGCAAGACTACAATCCCAAAACTCCAAGAGACCAAATGACCAACCAATACCAACCAAACACCCTTACGGTTACGTCCATGAAGCCTGTGGGAAACAAATAGACATCACATCATGACCAAGCAAAAACAAAAAACACACCAAAAACAAACCGAAACGTTCCACTGAGCTCTGCTGAAGCTATTGCACATGAAAAACGCTTTTCACCTTCACCGGTGAACACCCTTGCTCGCGCAACCGGCGGTTTACGGCCTCCCGGTCGGTCGCTCGCCCCGAGGTCTCCGGACTGGGCCCGCTTCCATCATCTCCTGCGAGGTCTCCGGACTGGGCCAGGGTGGTGTTCATTCATGTTGAGGAGTGGTGTTCATTCGAGTGGAAGGGGAAGCAACATGACATTGAACAATTTTCAACATCCTGCTATATAAATGTTAGATCTTGATTCTGCGGTAAGTATTCCGTGGACTTCATGTGTTCCAAACTTTACGGGTCTTTACGATCTGCCTGGAAGAGGCGCGAGAAGTAGTGCGCCCCGGCAAGAGTGCACCGCCGGAAAATGCCGGCTAGAATGAGATGAAGTATACTTGGGATTTTCGGTGGAACATGGTGGGACCACAACAGCAGGGCTACAGGATGCTGCCTGGTCTTGGTTGGAATATGTTGGAGTGGTGTGTTTGAAAAATACCGATGCGATGGTGGACCTTGGGGCGCGCACCAGGCCGCCACGCGGGGTTCCCCGCATCGCCCGACTCCACGCGCCGAGGCCGCGGCCACACGACTTTGAATCGTCATGTAGAAGCCTAACAAGACCTGGCAGGAAGCCGAACATAACACGCTTGGTTTTTTGGGGAATGCGTGTTATTCGAGTCGGTGTGGACAAAGGCCCCTGAAAGCCTTTTCATCCCTCTTCATCGCAGGCCAAAACCAAGGGGAAAATGGAGAAAACGATGCCAAAGGCCTAGGTGTGAAGATCCCACCATGGAAAAAAAAACAACATCTAGACATCTATATATTACCCAAATGTTCAAAGGTGGCAGTTCTGTGCATTTCTTGCATGAGATTGGTTGACGCCGAGCCCACGAGCTAAATCCAAGCTAATAACACCAAGAAATTGATTCAGTCATCTGATGAACACCTCTTCACAGCCAGGTGGCCTGCTCATCGAGGCGGCCCAAGTAGTCCTTGATCTTCTCCTTGAACTCTTGGGCCTCAGAAAGGCTTTGCCCCAACCGAGGCAAGTGAGGTCTCAACGTCTCATCCGCACTGGGACGAAGCAAAAGCGAAAGCACATTATACTCCAGCACGTTGTCCCAAGCGAGAAGCAAACAGGGACATGTTTCAGAGATTCTTGGCATTTGTTTGTGAACTTATTGTACTTCCCAGGCAGGAAGGGCCGGACGAACCCCCGGCTCCTGCCGTGCACCGCCGACGGGGGCCCACACGTTCGCCGATTGGCACCATCGGCCGACGACCTGCAGGACGTGAGGGCACTCTGGTTTGTGAGGGTTTGTGAGGGCACTCAAGTCTGCTGCATGTTTGGTCTCCAAGTGGCTTGGAAGAAGTCGAATCGATGGCACCCAGCAGCTTCCGGCGAGATCTCACAGTGAATACTGATTGTTGTATGACACGTTTCTGATGTTGAAGACACATGAAGAAACGGCCTTCCGAGCCGAAATCCAACGCGTGAGAGCCCGGCCCAGCAACTACGCACAAACACCTCGTGAGCTGTGTTTGCAGGGTCAAACTGTACCTTCTGAGGATGCAGTTGTTTGTCTCTAGAAACTTCCTCAACAAGGTCCTTTCTAGTAGCCTATAGGCCTATAGTAGCCTGCAAAACCCCACTACAAGGGTTTTTGGCATTCTGTGTCACCCTACCGCAGCTCCCAACCCCCGGGCGCCCCGGTGATGTTCGCCCAACCGTCTCCGCGCCTTTCGGGCAAGCACCGAATTGGGCTTTTGCCCCATCATGGCCTGAAGGGGAAGAGAGGGGAAGGTACGGAACAACAGGAACGAGTGCAGCAAAATCTGCAAACAAACACACACAGCACACACTGCACTGAACCTTTTCGCTGAGTGCTGGACGTTTTTTTTTTTTGTGTGTCGGGCTATCCGAAACACATGGAGTCATTAATCATTTATATATCTTTTCGTCTGTCCACCTGTGAAGGGAGGGATGTAAATACAGTAAACTGATTGACCCATTGGGGGAGCTGTTTGCCCCAACAACGACTTAAGAGGAGTCCATCATGGAGTCTTGTGGCTCACCAACCGCCGGCGACCGCTTACTTTCGGGCCCCTGAGGCTCCTCAAAGATCCCATAAAAACAGAAGTTACTGGTATCCTAGCTATACATATAGATGCATTCATATAACTATGCATATGCATATGCATGGTATGTTTGCCTCTATATTGATTCTGCATTATGGCAACCAATGTGCCAGGCCACCAGTGCCACCTAAAGCAAGAAAAAATCCTTTGGACTTGCAACCCCCAACTCAACAGCTCAACAAAAGTCGATCAACATCAATAAGTCGGTATGGGGTCATTGTCCATGTCCACAACATGTCATGTTTGTCATCCAAATCGCTGCATTTCTGGTCACGTCCCCCCACTCAGCTGGCCGAGGTCCCGCTTCTGGCGGAAGCACCGGGGCCTGAAGCGTCGCATCGATGGCGGACCTCGGCGAAGGCGGATCGATCTGTCCAGTCCCAGGGAGAGGGAGACGGGACAGGGGGACGGGAAAGGGGAGAGAGAGAGGGGAGAGGGGAGAGGAGTGGTAAAATGGCCTTCTTCCGGGCTACCTAGGACCTAGTACAACCCCCATAGTTCTCTTTTTCTGGTGCGCGGTGCGTTGATCGAGGGCCAAGCACCTGAGCAGGAGGATCTTTTGGGCCTACCAGTGTCCAAACAAAATAACAACTTCCAAAGAATCTCGTGATGTTGCATACCATGACCATCCAAGGGGTGTCCAATGGACTACCCCACACTACCTATAGGCTTCCATTGGGCACCCCTTGGATGGTCCAGGTATGTGCACGTTAGTTTCACCCCAGAACTGCACTTGCTGAGGGCTTGACGAGACTCACATCACTTCCGAAAAGCGCTGCTCTTAAAAAAACATTGACGCTTTGACCATTGTCCTGGTACAGGACAGTAGTTATCTGGATGTGAGCTCATTCAAAAAGCTGTTCACCTTCCAAAAGCCCGTGGCCTCCCACTCCCGAAGAGAGACTGAATCGACCTCACCTCCCGACCTCATCTCCCCATCACTTACGTTCCAAGGGACACCAGCTCGGCTGAGCCAGTCAAGCGCGTCTCGCGCTGTAACTTCGTCTCCGTCATGGCTCCACCCGCCCAAATGAGTGACGCACGGTCCGCGGTGAGTCTCGCGGTGTTGCGCACGAGTCCGGTGCAAAGTGCATGTCGTTTCGGGTTGCCTGGGCAATACATGGTGGGTCAGGGTTGAGTGGGTGGTTGATGTGGTGAGGCTGATGAGGCATGGTGAGGCCATGATTGCAGTGGGGGTCTCGGGTGGTGGTGGCTGCATATTGGCATGTGCAGGTGCTGCAGAAGGCTGCGAAAGTTGCTGCGCAGTGGGGAGTCTTGCCAGTGGTGGCGAAGGCAAGGATAGAATAATAACAATGGTGGATGTGTTGATCATATCTCCATATGGCTTCAGCTGGGAGTCATGATGAGTCTTGTGTCAAAACCAATCTGCTCGACGAGCCAATGTAAAAAGTACCCAGGGCAGCAAAGCAGCATGAAGGGGAAAAGAACCTTGCATGCCTGTATCAGTATGATGCGGTCAAAGACTGCACACCGATTAGCAAAATATGCCATGCACACTACAATGCACATATGTCCCCACCAAGCTAGGTTGCAATCCATTTCACTTAGGTTCCAGCAAGTTCCTCAGGTGATTTGTTAAGCATCACGTGCCCTAAAAGACCGCCACTAAGACCGCCTGCTGTTCGGGTGCCCGACAATGCTCAGGATCCTGAAGCAACCTCGTACAAACAGAGTCCTCAATCAGGATCGACAACAATACTACAGTACGGATGTTCAACTGCCAGTAGGCGAAGGTCTTCCTTACGTACGGACAGCGACATATGGCGCCGCATGGCCATATTGCGACTGACCCATCAAACAATCTATGTAGCGCCGCACCACTTACAGCCCTTCAAAGACTCGAAGGACTCAAGATTCCCAAGGGGTGATGAATCTAATCCATGAAATTGGTTTTAAGGGACAATCTAAGGGAAACCATGGTTTTCCCTCCCAAAACGATCGTGTTCCTGTAACTCTTCCCTTAATCCAATTCTGGGATCTGTAATTCCTGTATCTCTTATACCAGGGTCTACCCTATTACCTGTAACAGTGGATGATGATGGTTCAGTTGCAGGCCTGGTCCAAAAACCGTGTTTTGCTTGTTTATTGACTGTTTAGGTCAGAATGGACAGACCCTATACGACATTTCTTAGATCATTCCCGTATGGACATCTTCCTTTGGTCCACCTTTTGGGCCGGAAGTGGTCGACGTTTGGAACACCGACACGGTCCAAACATGTCCGACCTCGCGGCAGGGCCAAGGATGAAGCATGTTTGATAATGACTTTACGAATAAAGGTATTGAATCAGTACTTACCGAACCAGATAGGACTTTACCAGATAATGAGTTTACAATTTTACAGTCACAAAAGTATTGATCATGGGTTGTCTATAGACAGTCTACACATGCATGTCTACACCTTTTCCACACCCACGCCGCGAATCGCCCACGCTTTTTCTCATGGACTCATGTCTCCATCGGTCACTTCCCCGCCCGACACCGGATCTGTCGGCTCTCGACTTGGCGCACGCGAACCGCGCGAACCAGCGCTCTTAGCCCGTTCGGGTGAGCGCGACCTTGGAACATCCATCATGCCATGTGCAATACTGCAATACTGCACAACCGCACATGGCACCCATACATGCTTGCCATCATATCATGCTTGCTTCCGGCGGTTGCTTGCCATGACACTCAATAATTGGAACATCAAATGCAGAGTTCTTGCTGGAACAAAGGGCAAAGGTAGCCTTCAAAAGAGCAAACTGGAGACAAAACATCACATGGTCTGCTCCCAAGTGACTGCGACTTCCGCCGAAGAAGGCGGCGCTCTTCCAGCAAAAGCGCACGGCGGGACCGGCGGCTGCGGGGGGCAGCGGTTTTGGATGGGCTGATTGGCCTCTCCTGGCATTGCGAACGCGAATCAAAACACGATACCACCAGCAACAAAATTGACATCTTGTGATGAGGTGGTAGGAATTTGATATAGCTTAGTTGACAACGACTTTCTAACATTCTATATTAATATAATTAATAGCTGTATAAAATAATTAGCATAATAGTATAGCATATTATAGTCTCATCTGTAGGCGAGGCCATGCTTGTTGTAGAGCCACTTGTCTATTTGTCTCCAGCTTGGGTAACTTTCGTGCTCAGTGCTTATCCCAGCTTTGCATGGAGTGATGATCGCCCTGCTCTCAACTGATGACTTTCTCTCTGGATGCACAAGAAGCGCTTCAACCCAGCCGAAATCCACCAATGGCTTCCAAACCAGAAATGTCCAGTGAGTGGGGCCAATCGGTAGCAAAAGCTCCACGAAAAAGAAACACGGGTGAAACGATAGCTGTTCATACCAAGCACGCACCAAAGTTAACATGTCAAAGAAACCATCAAAACCTCTCCACTAAAGATTGATTAGGTGACAAGCAGCAACCATCTGCCTTCCTTCTCTCAACTGCAGCGCGCACACACACACACACAACAAACAACAAACAACTGGAAACTCACTATAGGCACCACGGCAACAATCCAAGTGTTCTACCTCCCTCGACAGTGGCCAGACTCTCCTTCGGAGGGGGCGACTCTGGTCGATACTCTTGGCCCAAAGCCACCTTCACCAGTTCAGGGTCAAACCTGCGTCACGGCGGCAAAGGGATCGCTATCTGGGTCGCAATTCTGGGTGGATTGGTGGCGAATTGGTAATGTTTCCTCATGGCCTTGGCTTCGTCTGAAATGGAACAATGTAAGAAACACTTAAAGTTTTAAACTATGTCATATCATGTCATATCATGATCCTGAGTAGCCTCACATGTTCTCAACTTGTGCCATAAATGTCGCGCAACCCCCAATCCATCCCAAACCCTAGAACCCTAACCCTAAACCCATTGTCCACGGTGGTGATATGGAATGTGTCCACCTCTGCTGAACGCTTCTAGTCACGAGACCTGGAAACAGCTCTACAAGTATCTCACTATCATGAAGGCAAGCGAAACCACAAACCATGCTGCCACAACACCCTCCAGAGGGTCAGCAATTGAGATCTGATGAGATCTGGTCTTCCGCCCAAGACTCCAGAAACTTTTGAGAGGGTGCCTGAGCCTGGCATATCCTGGCATGCCTTTGCTCACCCGCCAACAAAAGGGCGATGCTCACAGCTCTCCGCCCTCAAAACCCCCTTCTGGGCCCAAGGGCCGAACAGAAATGTCCACAAAATCCAAGGCTTGTGGGCGATGGCCCAACGCTTTCAGGAGGAACTTCCTCAGAACGACGCCGCTTTTCGAGACCGAGACCCATAGACCATTGAAACGGACCGATCGGCCGATGAACTCGTCGGCCGAGCGATCGGTCGGGGGGGTCCGAAAGGGGTTTCAAGCAGCGGTTCTCAAGGCGAATCCTGAAGGTTCTGGATTTAACCAATCCCTACAGCTCCTGGCCTACCTCCTGAAGTGGTTGTGGCGGGTGCCAGGGGAGTCTAACTCTAACCACCTTCTGAGGATATGGTTGGAGCCCGAGGGAATATCACATTCTTGACACTTCTTGGAGCTTCTATCAATTTTTTTGCCCTCGAATGGGCCTCAAACATCCTGAAACTGAACAGCAATACAAAAAACACTTGCTAGCGTTCGAATCTGAACACGTGCACGGCTGGATGATCGCAGCGAGTGCTCGCAGCGACTCTAGGGACTGGTTTGCAAAGGTACACATGTCTCCCTCCATCTATATATATTTCAACAAAAAAATTTGAAAGAGTTGCGGACAACGGCGGACAACTGTTGCAATTCGGATTTGTTAATTTAGCTTCTTTTCACCCGGTCAACCGGCATGTCACGGCTACGGAATTGTTCGGCTTCAACCTAACAAGCTGAGTTTAACTCACTGAGCGCCTAGCTTTGTTTCGCTGAGTGTTCGGATTTGTTAATTTAGATTAATTTAGCTTCTTTTCACCCGGTCAACCGGCATGTCACGGCTACGGAATTGTTCGGCTTCAACCTAACAAGCTGAGTTTAACTCACTGAGCGCCTAGCTTTGTTTCGCTGAGTGTTTGCATATGTTTGCATTGTAAGTCTAGCATACAAACCATGCCTGATCTCGCTTTCAAAACCTTGGCGGCCTTTCACCTGTGGGCTACATATGAATCGCGACCAACTTCGCGACCATTCTTCCTGTTGAGTAGTTGGACTACCAAACCACCAAAAGGTGTTCAAAGAAATGTGATTCACAGGTCATCACAAGTCACCAGCTTTGCTCCACCGTGCTCATCTTCTCCCGGCTGCCAGGTGGCCGATCGCACTTCAGCGAGTCGTCCGCACATTGCAAAGCTCGGGGGTCCTGCTGGATAGCTTGGTAGACCAAGCTGTGATCCTTCTTCCTGGCAGGAGTGACATAGAAGTGGGAGTGTCTCAACATGTTTGGACCCTCCAAATCTTTATGGGATTCACGGGATCCACGAGTGGTAGGTTCAGGAAGTTCAGGTTCAGAATTTGGAAGCACTTTACTGTCCGCTCAAAACAGGATTGCACGGACTGTCCAAGTACTGGTACCTCTTGATCATATGGAATCCTAGCAGTGGGGAATTTCGAAATGATCAAACGCACTAAACACCCTAGGTTTTCTGGACTGAAACTATTTCGGTGGAGTGAACGGTATTGAAGGGCATAGTATGCGCGGTTTCTCCTCTCCAAGTAGGCATATCTCCAAAGGCCCAAATCATAGGGCAAATCACCCTGTCCATTTTGGAGGGGGGGGTCCTGCGAGTCATTTTATAGATATGACATGGTGGTCCCAACCCGCAGGCGAGCCTAAATTGAAGAACCTGAAGTAAATTGAAAAAAAAAACTCAAATGACCTTACCTAAGGCCATTTTGGCAGGAAGTTTCTTCATCTTCTGGGCCCTCCTCCTTTGGACGTCCGAGTTGCAGGTCTGGATGTGCAAACTCCAACGCCAGGCCGGCATTCCTGGGAGCCCAGCGGCGAGGTGGGGCGGACCAGCAGCAAGTGTCCCCTCCAAACAAAACAAGGAACCATATCGGAATCATATATCGCTTTCCCACCAAGAAACCATATGGAACCTGTGTCCCCCCCATATATAGCTTTCCATTGTTTGTTTGTTTGTTGTGTTAGTTTTTCTCCCTCCATGTCGGCCCAACCATGACCAATGAATATTAACACGATGATTGTACCTAATTTCAGTGCATTTCGATGCCACACCAAACGCTCTCCATTGTAATGGGCACACTCTCGTGCCAGGCATCTGCAGCGCGTGCTTCACGACGTCCCGTCGACTGCGAAGCTCTTCGGGAGCGAAGATCAACGCCATGCCGCAGTGGCTCAACGCCGCCTCGCGTGACCGCGGTCGGTCGCGGTGGTCGGTCGGCCGGGCGCGGAAGCGCAAAGGAAAGTCCACACGCCCTGGTGTCTGCCGAGCGAGCGGTCCACCTATCCTAGGGCCATTCTGAAGCTTGAGGCCATCTCAGAACATGCATCCAACAACATCTCAAGTTCAGTCTGTCCATGTTGTTAGTAGCATTGGCCCCTCGGAGCGAATTGATCAAGGCTTCGCAATTCCTTGACCAATAGAATCACAAATAACCCCGTAACATAACGAGATGTAAGCGTTTCAAGCTTAATGTTAACGTGTACATGCATCAATGTGTCGACGGGAGAGGGGCTATGCTTATGTTGCCCAATGGCAGCCACAGATGGCCAACCATCAACTATGTTGTGTAAAAAAAAGTGAAAAACAAAGCAAAACAAAAGCACATGAAAATGCAAAAGCAGCGCAACTTGCTTTGCTGTTGCATTTGTTTTGCTCTTTACCACTTCTGCGCTTATGAGAACTTTTACCCGTCAGCAATATTTGCTGTACGCTCCAAGGAAAAAAGCAAAAAAACATGCGAAAATAAAGCAAAAACATGCGAAAATAAAGCAAAAAACATGCGAACATAAAGTGAAAAAAGCGACAAACACGCACAGCTACATTTTTTTGCTTTGTTGTTTGCTTTGCCTTTTGCTTTTTTTGTTTTGCTTTGTTTTTGCTTTATAAATCTATTTTGGCTCCTTGTTTCTGTGGCTGGCGCGGCCGGCATAAGGCTATGCCTATAAGCTTATCTAAGCAGTGTGTTTGGGATTGTTTGGGCCAACCCTGCACAACAACAGTATCTTTCGGTGACAGCAGTGGGATGCGAAGAACTGAACCCCCAAAGTGGCGTGGCGTGGCGACTCGGTGACTCAAAACGTTGCAGTGTGCAACGACTTGAAGGAACAAACTCGATGGATGCGACTGCAACTGCGATATAGACTCTGCCTGGCAGGACTCAAAGACCTTTGATAATTTTGAGAGCAGTTTCATGGCGCAGCGAGTGGCCTTTACAAACCAAGTATTTACAGAGTTGCTGAGACCGGTTGTAATAGTATTTGTGTGATTTGGATTCGGCTGGTTGAAGTGCAACAAGTTTACCGGCTGAACTTGGGTTCCATCCGCTTTCGCACTCACCGGACGATTTGGTACTCCTCCCCACTCGCCCTGCCCGTGTCACTCGGGCAGGTACCGGCAAATATGAGTCTGGGATCAATCATCTCAAGCAAAGCTTGAACATAAATGAACATACATCTGAAACCACCACCCAGCACGGTGATGCTCGGTGTGTGTCTCTCACTTATTTTTCCCAGGACCTTCACCACCTTCTCGTTGCGCCGCATGAGGGGCGACAGGAACTCCAATCCCAAACCATAGGTCTTCATGGCCGCCACACAGACCTCGGTGTGGCAATCCATTGAAACCAACAAACTTTACTGAAATGAATTGATTGACCATGTTGCGCAGCATAGGGTGTTCCTCTTCTGGGGTGATTGTGTTTTCATATCGTTTTCCATGTTTACCAGGGGTGTGGTCGTTGCAGGATTGTAGGGGCATGTTAGGGCAGCAGGTTGGAGAACAAAGGAAAGGCGAGAGGGCCCTCCTACGTACCTGTTGACCAAAACAAGTCATACACATGTCATTGCATCGCCATTCGATGGTATTTTGCTAATCAATACAAACCTCTTCTCTGCCAGTCAAGACCCAGCAAACACTCTTCCAAACAGTACCTGGGTTTTTATCAATGTGCACATCGTCACTTGTCTATGCTGGCAAAGCGTACCGTCTTGGAGTCTTGGGCTGATGTGGTATTGAGAACCAATAGGCACTAATTGGACAAATATTGACAACACGTTTTCATTATCTGATAGTTCGCTCAGCAGGATTGGATCATGCATGATCATTTCGGCCTAGTTCCACATCCCTCTTGACCACCACTCATGCCCCCATGCGGGGTCAGTATAACCTCAAACTACTAACATGTACATCACCTACACTACCAATACATTATATATCATTATATTAGACTTGGGGACTTGGGGGATAATTAAAGGAGAAGCCGTGGGCCCTGACTGAAAGGATCCGAATGCAGAACCATTGGGATCTTCAACCATCGAACCCATCCGATCCGATCGAATGCGCGGATCGGAGTCGGTTCTGACCTTCCGACCCTCCCCACCTCCTCGGAGTTCCGGAAGAGCGGTGGAGCATAGCGGATGGCCCAGCCGTTATTCTTGATGATGCTGAGGACCTCAGCCGCCCAGTTTGTCAGAAAGGCTGAGAGGTGGCAGGGTGGGTGGTCCGCCCAACCCTGACGCCAATTTCGACTCTGATAACATACTTCAAGGGGCTCCAACCCGGAATATTGAAGTAACATGTCACATTAGCGACCAAAACAATCAAACAAACTGCAGGCAGCTGCAAACCGTTGGTGTCTACAAAAAACGCTCCAACCGCTCCATTCGTCGCGTGGTGTGAGCTCCGCCTGCTCCTTGTCCCGCTTGTCGTTGCGGTAGCAGGCGAGTCGATCAATGATACGTTGGTCAGGCACATCCATCCAGGCAAACGGGCCCTCTGTGTGTGTGTGGACTTGTGGACTTTTCTTTTTTCGAGTTGAGGTGCTTCGATGGTGGGTGGATTGGGACTCAATTTGAGTCCAAACGATCAATCCGATGTTCAAGTTTCAAGTAAACTCTTAGATCCTCTTAAGATGACGTCATCATGCAGGATGCACTTGATGTATCTGAGTGAGGGACTGGATCCCTGAGGACACCTCCGCACGCCTCTCCTGTGTCTGAAACGGAAGGAGCTGCTTTCAGCTTCAAAAGTACAAACAGTATTGAAAGCCGCGTTTGTTAATGCCTGACCCTGCATTTGGCCCGAGAACCTTCAAGCCACTCTGGATGCTCTGTCATTCGTCAGGTGACATCAAGCTACATCATGCGAAGGTCACAAAATCGGCCGTCCGAACAGCAATTGTCAATGGAGACATGCAAATGAAACCCTAAAGACTTGACGACCCGAACGTTGCCAATCACATCGAACCTTCATGGACATCGACACATCCAAACACTTCCTCCTCTCTCCCCTTCCCAAAAAATCAACCATCATGGTTTGATGTACTCCTGGCTTTGACCACCACAGGCTCCGCAGCTCCTCTGTTGGGAAGGCATTTTGATCTCCTATGATTATATGAGAAGATATGAGAAGATATGAGAAGGTTCCAAAACACAACCATTTGTGGATCTATTCCTTCCCGTCGTCTCCCTTCTTTTCTCAGGATTGACGCAAGTGGACCCACGGCGCGTTGCAAGCGATTGGCCGGCGCCGGTGCCGTGCCGTATGGGCACGAATTGTTCTCATGGGATTGGCCTATGCTTCCACATGCTGCAAATGCGCAAAGAGATGGAGCTGGACCCCGTCTTGCTTGCTCAAGCCAACACCCCATTTGAGGATGTCAAAGGATGTCAAAGGTCTTTTTGGCCACGAGGGCTCTCACCTACCACTTCCCCTCAGTGATCATCACTCTCTGAATACTCTCGGAGCCCAGCTCCTCTCCGTCCGCTCAGCATATGGTCTCTACACGGGGCTCCGTCGCCCCAATTATACCGTGCAGAAAGCTGGACGCAACGCAGAAAGCATCTCAGTGAGCGCCGACGTTCCGTCTCAGCGCCTGCGTGACGTCCGAAGGCGGTTCCGGTCGCGCCGGGTCAATGTACGGAATGTTATAGTGGTGGAAGTGGAGAAGGCATGCCTCCGAGTTCGGATGACTATGAATTCCATTGAATTCCGAATACCAAACATGACATGGTTTTACACTTGCAGGATGATTTCAGGGAGTGTGACTGACTCAAATGGACTCAATGTAACATATGATATATAATATATTGAAATATAATTGCCGAATAATTTAGATCCCCAGAGAACAAATGTCAGGAGAACGGATGCCCTTGGACTGTGCCGGGAAATCGGCCCGAAAACACTGGTAGTCCGACCCCAGCTTGATACAGAATGTCGTTCACACTCCCAGGCTCACAGGCCGTTCACTGAGACTCCCAGGCCGCGTTGTGGCATGACTCCCAGCCACCCAAGGGCCTTCCATGACGACCAACCAATCTCTGGATGCTGATTCAAGCCATCCAGTTTCTATCTCTCTACAGGCTCTACAGACCCCTCATAGATGTGAGCGTTCGCCCGAAGCGCGTGGTAAACGCGTAGATTCGAGGAGTTCCGCTTGGCAAACCGCCCGAGACTGGGCGGTTTACCCGGCCTCACCACATAGCTCTGCGGCTTGAGGCCCTGGATGTGATGATTCTTGTTGATTCTTGGGTGTGAGGGTGACATGACTCAGACCCCGAAGGAATAGGACGGAGCATCTTGTAGGACTATAGTCTGTTTAGAAGCTAAAACTGCCTGCAGGGGGGTTCCAGGCTTTATCCACGCAGTTAGAACGTCGAACAACGTCTCCAGTGTCCTCTACTTGCTGCGGTCTGCATGAACTGACTCGTCAAACGCTCTGTTCTGGCTTTGGTCCATGCAACGCCCATGGGGTCCCCAAAAGCGGCCTTCCAAATTGCTGCGCTGCACTGGTCCCAGCGGCTGGAATGGCTGGAAGGCCCAGGGAAGACTGATGAATCAAACCCCTGATGGCTGGAGATGTGGAACCATTCCGGAGACGATTTGGGCTCAATTCCACCGAACACCTCCATCATGGCATTGTGCTTTGGGTCGCTAAAGTGAGACAGCATGTTCAGCCCGAAAGATCCCGGTTTCGTCCGTGGCACACAAGTTTCGATTGCACCCCGGTGGCCTTTACTGAAAGGATTCCTTGTCTCTCTAACAGTTTATAACCATCCTATGAACCAGTCAAAAGACATGATCGTTCCACTTTCGGATTTCGCCATATTCGGACGTTCTCTGCTCCAGGATGACTACTGGATTCAGATCCCAGCACCCACAGCTCCTGGTCCCTGGTACATCGCCCCCCCAGTCACCTCCGGACCACGAGCGACAATGACGTGTGGCCTCACCTGCGCGGGTCCGAGCCGGAGTTGCGCGGGGTCGAAGAAGGATGGAAGGGTTCAGCACCTAAGATAAGTGGGTCACTGACCTCATGATCATCAGGAACTGGTATTGATGTGTTAAATGCAGAATTGCAATTTATGCAGAATTGCAATTTATTCGACTCCCAAGTAGTGGACTTGCTCATTAGCCCAATTAGGCTGGTTCGGCTGGTTACCATACTTCGACCTGACGTCTTGAGTTCGGTCCTGCCCTGTTGTCACGATATGTCACAGTTCAATGACTTCTGCCATATCGCATGACTGGGAAAATGCGGATATATCTTACACTTGAGGGGTTGAATATGGTTGAATAGTGCATGCATCGGGCAGTGGGGAGGTTCCCCACACCATGTCATCGCAAAGAATGTACGGAAAAAGCACATAACTCTAGACTCGTGCGAGGCTCCCATTTTGGCTAAAGCATTCCCAATGTGTCTTTCCTTCACAGCGGCCCTGTGGCTCTTCTCCGTGGGCTCCCCGGCATGGTGACCATAGAAGGCCGCCATCCGACTGTGGACCTTCTGCAGCTGCGGCCCGGTACAAGCTGGGTGGGGACGACGAAGATGGCATCGGCAGCATCGAGAGAATACGAAGATCACGGCGGGATGGGGTATAGTCACAGTATAGTCTAGTATGGTATAGTGAACAGCTTGAGAACACGGCCATCGCTCGATTCGGAGATATAGATGAAGTATGGCCATAGATGAAGCTCTTGAAACTCTAGTGGTCAATGAAGGCTCTTCAAATCAGAACGGGAACATCCAGTTACACCATGTTACACCCTGGGTGTGACATCAAGGAACCGCGGTGATGTCGCTGTGTCACGAGGTCGGGGACCTCTTCGAGGTAATGTCTATGTCTGATCCCCCTCAGAACTCTTTGCAGGTTTTTCCGTGAGCTTTGGGTTGGATTGGGGTAAATAGAATTTTGACTGTCACTGACCTGGCCATAGGAGCTTGGGGAACATAGAATTGAACAATTCCGCACAAACAAGTGGGTGATGCGGGATGTATTGCACATGGCTGAGGCGAAAGGAATTTGGGGTAGGGTTTGACGGGTTTTGGTAAGGGTTTGGGAGGCCAAAAATTTTTGAGATCTTTTGGCCCACTGCCAAAGAAAGCATGCGTATATTAGGGCCCATGGTACTCGGCTGGCAGGGCGGTTGTCACATGGGGCACCTTCTTCGGGGACCTAGGCGTAGTTTGAACGGTTCAGGCGGTCAGCAAATCAAACCACCCAAGAAGACTCACAGGCACCTGGCTATGGAAGGGTGCCAGGTGTGATGGTTCTTCTCGCACCTCCTCCCATCGTCCCCCCACTGCTAGCATCCCTCATCCCTCGCCTGCTTATTGTCAGGGCACGCCCACACAGCACCATGGGGACCCACAGCAGGCTGCGCTGCTTTAAGCAGGAGGGGGCCAGCCCTCAGTGTTAGCGGACAGGATGCCATAGGTGCAGTGCAAGCCACTGAGTTACTGAGTGCGTGCGTTATCATCGTTATCTTTTTGTCCTAGCCCCTTTATGCCAGTGGTATGTATATAGATCGAGGGTACATTAAGGCAGCTCCTTTGCAACGCAGCTTTTGTCAGTCCGCTTCTCATAACGCCAAACTCATTGTGGCACCCCGCCCCCATGCATGCCTGTGACTAATTTGGATTGAAGGGATCAAACATGCTCCAGAAATTCCCACAGGAGGCTCAACATGGGGATAAGCGGGACATGTTGAAGTACCCGCTCGCCGCTGAGTAACCCACATCCATAAACCACCAGAAGCATCTCAAACCTGGATATTGATATAACGATAAAATTAACATATACAGTATATATATATATAATTGGTTATATAGTGTCGAAGTCCACCACACTCTTGTGCAAGTGGTGCGCAGAATAGTCGCCCAGTGCCAAAACATTGTAACATGGAATCTGACAATGGGACACTCGATATATCTGTGCTCCTGTGACATTCCAATGGTTCCACATGTCTTTTGTAAAACCTCTCCAACTATATACAAGGCATCAACAAGCCCTCTAACAACCACCCCAAACCCCCAACTTCCAACACTAAGGGTCAATCCAACGACACCAAGGGTCAATCCAAGGACACCGGCCCAGTTTCAGGGCAAATGGCCAATGGCACTGGGCCCCAAAGGTCCATATAGTATATAATCCAACTTTTGGGGGATTGTGCCATCTACTCTGAAAATTCTGAAACCACTGCAACATACTGCAACTAGTGTCCGACTCTCTCAGACCGAGTGTCGGCACGCCTGCGTGTCGGCGCCGATCCGATCGATGGGTTCCATCCATCGAGTTTCGGGTGGGGTGAGACTCTTGGGGCGTCAGTCTTCGAAGGAACGGAGCCAGGGAAGGGCACCAAAGGCTCCAGGGAAGGGCAAAGCCCTGTCTTTAGGAGGCTTTGCCTCCAAAGCCCTTCAGGTTTGCAAGACCCAAGACCCCCAGATCCGATGGTACCAGGGCCCCAGCTGTCTGGTAC